TTTCATCTACTACTCTTTTCTATGTTATTGTAATTTTTCTTTTATTGTAATTTTTCTTTCATTAATTGTATCCTATCGCGTTCATATTAATCTTCATTATTTCCAATATTTGAGTTTTTTTATAGTTAAATATATTTTATTGCAGCAAAGGTCATTTCAAAATCTCTGAAACTTCTTTTATTTCACCTTTTTGTTTCTGACTCATTCCCTTTGATATGACAAAAAAATAGCCAAATTGATTAACTATATTATAACGCATCAACAGGAATTGAATGAATACTCACTTTACAAATAGACTTTCATTTTCATTATATATATATATATATATATATATATATATATATATATATATATATATATATATATATATATAAACTGAAAATATGGATTAGATCCGACAAAATGGTTAAATAAGGAGCAAATAGAAAAACTTTTATACATCTAAGCTTTCGTTATTTTTATTTTATCTTCATCAAAATATTTCTGTTGAAGTTAAAATAAAAATAACGAAATATGTTAAATTTAAAATGTGTTTCATGCGAAAATAAGAAAACATTTAAGGAAACATTAGCTATTTAAAAATTATACAAACTTATTTTCTGATTTACGAGAAAATAAAACACAATATATCAATGTATTTTATTGGCTGTTTCAATGTATTCGCTTTTAATTTATTAATACATATTGTTAAACCATTTTTAAAGTCTCGGGGAAATTTATTATTCTTAAAAAAATTTTATCAATTTCCAATAGTTATTAATTTCGAATTTATAAGATTGTTATTATCATTCATCAAGATGTCACAATATTTTCACTCATAGATAGATAGATAGATAGATAGATAGATAGATAGATAGATAGATAGATAGATAGATATTTTTCTGTTCGCAAAACTGTTTTTCGCAATTTCATATCAATATTTTTTACCGATTCTACTCATTTTTATTCCAAATTTTTTATCATTTAGACGAAGTATACAATCAGGATAAAACATGTATTTTTTAATAATAATAATAATAATAATAATAATAATAATAATAATATATGGGAAAAAATAAAACATAAAAACAATATTTCAATATAAAATAGTTTTTTTTCTTTTCTTAATTATTATTATTATTATTATTATTATTATTATTATTATTATTATTAATGTTGTTTGTTTGTTTGTTTTTGTAGTTATTGTTTGTTTTTGTAGTTATTGTTTATTTTTTATGATTTGATGCTTAATACAATAATTTACCAAGTCCTTTACGTGAGACCAATTTATAAATGATGGGTTATCTTAGGACGTCATTGAAAGATTTGTTTTCTTTGAGAGCGGTACTCATTATGATAATCTTTTGTATTTCAGATAAAGACAAATTTCATTATATTAATTATTGTTGTTGTTGTTATATGACTGATCTTGATTCGGGTGTAAAACTGTTTTTAATATAACATTTTCATTATATCAATTTTAGAACAAAAAGTATTCATGCCTGAAAAAGAATGTTGTTGAAATATCAAATGACCGTTTTTGTATATATGTGTACATGAATGTTTGCCACTGGAAAAATATCAAACAAATGGTAATTTTTCAAATATATATATATATATATATATATATATATATATATATATATATATATTGGGGTGGGGTAAAGAAAGGAAAAAAGATAATTACCCGCCGTATCGCTGGCCTTTTCCGATAAGTCAGTGCTGTCCGTAGAGGAAGTGTCCACCCAAGGATGCCAAACTCTGGTTTTGATGCACGAAGACGTGCCTGTAAATTTGGTGGGGTCAAGAATATCAGCCACCGAGAAAGAAGTCGTTTGGCTTCGTTGTTGTTGTGGTTGTTGTTGTTGTTGTTGTTGACTAGAATTGTTGTTTGAAGTGTTGCTGTTATTGGTATTATTTGAAAGATTTGTGGCTCCAAGAGCTGGTGGAGAAGATCTCGGAGTGTTAGGGTTTGGTATACTGATTGGCGTCGTCGAAGACGGAGATGTCCGAACTATGGAACATAATTGCTGCTGTTGTAACTGTTGTATTTGTTGTAGGTGGTGATGATGGAGATGTTGGTGGTGGTGTTGTGTTGGTGACATTGGTGGGGATGTTGGAGACGACGGCGATTTGTTGTCCGTCTCTTCGTCGTAATTGTTTGGTGAGTCGTTGCAGTTGCTAGGTTCGTGATGTTGTTGCAGCCGGCTGGTAGTGTGATGGAGAGCGAACCTGCGCCGGATGTGACCGTGTGAGGCTGAAGACGCGAGCAGAGGTGTCGGGGCAGGATGTAGGGATGAATGGTGGTGCACTGCCGACGAAGCAGGAGTAGTTGATGCTTGAGAAGTAGAACAGGGTGCCGTGGAAGTGATAGCAGAAGTTGTCGTTGGGGAAGATGAAGAAGTAGAAGAAGGAGACGAGGATGCCGACGAGGGCGAAGAAGATGAAGTCGTTGATGACGTTGTTGGCAATGGCAGTGCGGCCAGCGAAAGAGGCAGTTGTAGAGAAGAAACTTGCATGGGTGTCGACGTCACTGCTGCCGTCATAGTCGAAGGAGACGATGAAGATGACAATGATGACGACGAAGACGACAATGGAGAACTGGAAGACGAGCCCGCAGCCGTAACCATAGGCACAGGACTGTTCTCGCGTAAATTCGAACAGTACTTGGACGATGAGCCCGCTACTGGAGAAGTATCTTGGAAATTGTGAGGGTTGTGGAGATGTTTCTGCTGCTGCTGCTGTTGTTGGAGATTTAGGAGATGCTGCTGTTGTTGCGATGACGTAGGGGGCGGAGGAAGAGGAAGACCGGTACCTCCTCCTCCTCCTGCTCCTCCTCCTCTTCCTGATACGTGATGATGGTGATGGCGGTGACGGTGACGATGGAGGTGGCCATGGTGACCCTGGGGGCCGGAGCTCGTATTGCTGCCACTACTACCACTAACAGAGAGTCTACCGTTTTCTCCTGCCCCTCTATTGTTAGTTTCTATGATAACAACCCCAGAAGGGCTACTGTTACTCACCAGACGACTGTTATGGTTGTTGTTGTTGTTGACGACGGGTACTGAGGAACGATTACAATTGCCACTCTCCTCAGTTTCGCTATCTGATTGAATACCACTGTAAAGCGATCGCTCGGGACTCGGACAAGAACTGTCATCGACATTCAGCTCAGTATTTTCCATGACGAATAAATCTCAGTTTATTTGATGCAAATAATAATAATAGAAATCAATGTAAATACGTCTACAGATTTGTACGAATGTGCGGGAGAGAAAAGTTGTGTATGTGGATCTCTATTTCAAATATATTTCGTGTGTACAGTTTTTTTTTTTTTTTTTTTTTTTTAAATAAATATTCTGTATTTTGAGCTTAATTGAGTGTAAGTAAATGTACCGATCCAGTCTGTGTAGTAAATCCTTCTTGTGTAGTTCCAGATACAAGTTTTTTGGGGTTTTTTTTAATCACATTTTTTTGCTGGTAGACAAAAACGATACATCTATAAATTGTTTTCTTTTAAACCATTAATTTTGATTTTCTATTCATCTATTTTTAAAAACTTGTGCATAACGGAAGAAATAAGCCGTTTAAAATAATTTTTCGTGTGAAGTTTTCTTTTTCTAATATTCTACTGTTTGATTAAATATGAATTTTTCTCTTCACATTCTGATAGACATTCTTTTTAAATAAAATGATAAACTTGCGTAAAATACATCCATATGCAATCATGGAATTGTATATGTTTAACTGTTAAAAAGATAATTATTGTTTTGTCACTGAATGAAATATATATACTTATATCTCTCGAATAACTTGCGAGTTTCAGCTCTCTTTGAAATGTTCAGGAACTCGTGTGAATCCAAGAAAACCTAAGTACCAATACTGATGCATCAAATCAGCCATGCAGTTTTTGGTCCGCCTCTTTTACGAAATGGAAGAAGAGGGCATCAGGGAAAAGAAAGCAACGATAATGACGTTCCAATTGTTGTTTGTTCGTACGAGGCGTTCCGCAATTTTTTTCTCTGGTAAACCGTAAACCGAATTTTCTTCGAACAGATCTTGCGGCTTTTCCTGTATTGGATAATAACCGGAGATACGTTTCACCATGATTTTATTATGTAATTGTTCGTTATAGTCTTTTCTTTGAAAGATGAAAAAAAAGGAAGGATGACTAGATAATAAAGAAAGGTCGGGCTCAAAATAAAATCGTGGGTGTTTATTTTCCTCTTGTCGAAAAGGAAGATTTAGCGGGAAAAAAAACAAAAAGTCAAAGTTTCTTTTTTTCTGGTTCACTTACTTTTAAATTTTTATTTATTTATTTACTTTTTCTTCGTGTAACGAGCAACTACATTTTTGTTCAAATGATTTAGATACTGAGTTGCATGAACTGTCTTTTTAAGCTATATACTTTCTTTCTCTCTACATTTGAATAAAGAAAACGTAACCGCTGATTACCTTACGGAGGATATCTGCAATAAAACTTGTATGCTATGCAGAACAAATTTGAATAAAATGATAAAAAAAGACAATGATAGCGCGAAGAGATACTAATAATTATTTTCAAAAACTGACACGCATACACATACGAATGGGTTTGTCGACAACAATGAAAACGACGACACCCGACAAGGCTGGAAATAACAGAATGAGATGAATGTAAGGAGGGGGAATTAAGAGGAAGTAGAAAATAAAGAGTAAACACAAGATGATTGAGTAGGTGGCAGTAGCCATGATACCAAATCTTATAGTGGTGGGTGGAGTGCAAATTTTAAGCGGGTGGGAGGAGGAGAAGAGAAAGTAGTAAAGAAGGGGAGTGGTACTGAATAAAACAAGGCGTAAGTGGGAGGAGTGTAAATAAGCTTGTGGTGAAATTTTGTCGTGAAGTGAAGAGAAGAGAGAATGAAGAAATATTTCAAGTAAACAAAAAACGAAGAGAAATATTTTTGAAAGGCAGCACATGAGAACACACCAAAATTAAGGCATGTAAATTAATTATGTTATCAATAAGTATGATCATTTTATTGAAGTCTTTCGATGGTTTTGTTTTTGTGGGTGGTAGGGTTAGTTCTTATTGTAGTAAAGAAATTATTTAGAGTCGTGTATTACTTTGATTGTGAATGAATGACAACAGAGACGAGGGGACTGGTAAAAAAAGAGTCAAGGTTACTTTGAGCAACAAAAGACAGGAAGTTGTGGAGAGCCATATGATTCCTCATCTTAACGGATTTGACATATAACAGAAGATGAGAGTAATTTCTTTAAATGAAATTGTAGAATTTAAAAGTGTTTGCGTAAATGAATCTTGCAATAGTAGTAAAATAAAATTATAGTAGTATTTTTTATGGACAGATACAAAGATAAATTTGTAAATTGTAATTTTAATTTATAATGCGGAGCACATCAAATATGGATAGACAAAATGCTTTTATTTATTAACTTTCGCACGATTGTATGTTTATGGTATGTAATAACAATCATGGTTAAAAATAACTTATAAGAAAAAAAGATAGTAAAAAAAAAACGGAAGAGAAAACCTGAGAAAGAGCAAATAAATGACGGCAATGTGTTTGATAAGAAGACTAAGAAGAGACAGATTAGTTTAGGCGTAATAATAAAGTGAAAAACAAAAAAACAAAAAGGATTAAAAATTTAAAAATAACAATTATCAGGGCTTTCATCAAAATCTTTTTTTTCTTTTTTTGTCTTCTTAATTCTTTCAATCTCTCTTCTCCATCGTTCTTTTGCTATGATTACGTGTTTTTTTAGAGATGTTGCTTTGACGTAATAAGCAGTTGCTAAATTATAAATAAATATAACTAGAGAGTTTTTAGCATCAATACCCATTGAGAATGTTGTAGATAAATGCATTTATTTCGTGTGATTAATTTGCTATCTTCATTATAAATTAAATTAACTCTGAAGATGAAGTTTTTTGGGTTTTTTTATGTTGTTGTTTGTTAAAAATTTGGTATACTAGTTTTGTTTTGATTTTTTTGCGTTTGTTTTCCCACTCGCGAAATATATAACAAATCTAAAATTCTTGCACTTTTGAAGAAAATTAACAATCTATATAAGAGGTGTATGTTTTCGCGGTAACGAAGATCTAATAATTTTCTTTTTAGTTAATAATATAAGTAAGTAAATATGTGTTTCAACTGATCAACACTAAACGACATGTTGCTATTAGTTGAGTATGTGTCAGGTTTTACGGAACAGAACTAGGAAATGGTATTTTTTAAAAGTTTTTTTTTAACGTATGTAGTAAGGATTCTCGCCAATCCGTCATTTCTTGGATCAACAAAAGTTATATTCTTATAATCAAATTACTTATGTATCACATATTCCAAAAAGAAAAGAGGAACGATTTTGTTTTAAATGCTTTCTCTCTTTCTCCTTTATATAAACAGGTTCACGAACCCGATAGTCGAAATAAAATTTTTGCCGAGTTAGAGCAGAAAGTGTTTTAATTAACTTGATACCATAATATTTTACAAGTACAAAGTACACGGCTTAATTGTGAAGAATAGAAAAATATTCTTCTTTTTTGTATTAGGCGCAAACACAAACTTTTCACGACACCAATATGCTCAATTTGAAATATTTGGATCAAATAATTCCCAGTACTTATTCTACTAAAAACAAAGAGAGAGAAATGTGTGTGTGTGTGTGTGAGAGAGAGAGAGAGAGATGGGGGAAATGACGAATTGGCCACTTAATAGAATAATATTATTCAACTATTTCCAAATAGTTTCAGCAGAGATATTGAAGCTTTACCGATAAGACATACAGTTCAAAACCCCCGACCTCTCTATCTAATATTCTACCAACATATCCAACTCATAAACTTACTTACCGTAGTTGTGGCAATAAATAAAACGGTAGTTTCAAAGAACTCTGTATTTTAAATTTATGTTTGGCATCCTGTAGTAGAACAATGCGGAGTTGGCCTCACGGTTTACAGCTCGGAAAATATATTCAATGAAACGTGTTCAAATTCCAGCAAATTAGTTTGCGCTCACTTCGTACTAATTAATAGTTTTTGAGTAAGGTGTGAACTGAACATGCTTTGTCCATTAAAACAAGTCAGAGATTACTTCCTCATGCTAGTATCGTGTAACACAGTACAACTTGTTGCCTGCTAACTGGAGAGGAGATGGACGCCGCCAAGTAAACCATGATGCTTCGAGAAATTCAATGAAAAGCTCAGCAGAATAACTCAACGATTCAGACAACGAAGTCAGTCGATCGGTAAATTTAGCGTGAAAACAGGTGAGTAAATATTCAGTAAGCGAATAGATTGCTATTTGAGAACTGAAGGGAGAAAAATCTTTGAAAAATTGCAATAATATTTGATTAAATAAGGTAAATAGAACACAAAAAAATTAGATAATTTAACTAAACGACACTTCTGAAATAGTTCTTTGATTTAATTTTGCTTTCATATTTTAAATAAATATAGTTGGTGAAATAGTCCACTTATTTGCTAAACGAATTTGTTTCGTGTGGTTTACGAAGACGCGATTTTGAATGCTGATTTTTGAGGCAGTTCCAGAAATTGCCATTACAAAATTTACCAGTAAATAATGTTAAATATCTGAAGTAGGTGATCTATCTATCTATCTATCTATCTATCTATCTATCTATCTATCTATCTATCTATCTATCTATCTATCTATCTATCTTTCACCGTGTCGGTCCATTGCTGAGAATTAGATAGATTTTATCTAAGCTAGTCTGTCCATATTTTTCTACACCTGTATTCTATCTATCTATCTATCTATCTATCTATCTATCTATCTATGTGTATCTCATAATTTATATATTTATCTGACCTTGGGTACATATTTCTCTCTCAGTCATATATATATATATATATATATATATATATATATATATATATATATATATATTATATATATATATATCGTCAGTGTCAATTAGTTATTATTTGTCTAACTTTAGTTTTGATTGCTACAACACGAAATTGTGTGAGTAGAGTAGTTTTTCTATCTCCTTGCCGAATGTTTATGTCTCAAATATCAAGGAAGGGATTCATGTGGTTTCGGGAGCACAGAATAACCGTCAAAAACGGTTTACAAATTCATTTTGTTTTGGTTCCTATACAAACGAGAGGCAGGTGAAAATTTCCCTCAAAGTTCGATTTCAATATGACTGACGCATCAGAAGTGGCTTCGGAAAGGAGCTAAGTGTTACCAGACTGTAGCTAAAAATTCATGAGAGCATCACTAAGCAGCAGAAATAACGTCTTTATAACCAAAGCAACTATTTTCAGATGGTAAAACTCACTCTCTCTCTCTCTCTCTCTCTCTCCAATCGATCTTTCTTTACTCATCTATTTCCTCTCTGCTTATCGATCTTTCGATCACTCTTTTTCAACTGTCTCGTCTAACTAATCTTTTCGCATTCACACACACACAAACACATATATATATATATGAACTTTAATAGTAATAGTTAGCAAGCTTGTTTCGTTAGGTCAGTTACAACTGAGCAGTGAGTTCGATTCTCACAGATTGCTTCATACTCTCGGCCATGTACCACATCTAATCTACACTTAGTAAATCAATATATATATATATATATATATATATATATATATATATATATTTTTTCTACTTTACAATTTATTGGATGTTTAACACACACACACACACATATATATATATATATAATACTTCAAATGTTATAGATGATAATCGTATTTGAAATAAACGCCTCATTTTTACATATGTGTGTGTGCGCGTGCGTGCATAAACACACACGTACGTGCATATATCGGTACAAGTAAGTAACATAAAACATCTTGACTGACGGAATACATTGACACCAAACATTTCTTAATACTTTCCGTATCTGCAATAATAATGAATAAATAGAAAGAATTATGATATTGCTACGATAACATCAATTTTCATTTACAAATACATAGAATATTTTTATTAATACATATCATAATAAATGTATCTTTATTATATGATTGAAATGTAATTGTTAAAGACGTTAAGAAAACCCTTAAGCTTCCACTTAATAAGTGAAGTTAAGCAATGTTCTGCCTTGAGTATAGTAAATAGGTGATCAAAGAAACATTTAGTTTGTTGGGAATAAATATTTCATCTCGTTCTAGTCAAATTCGGGGTTGTAGAATTAGCAATTTGTAAAACTATTTAACTACTTCTTAAGGTTTTATTTGGACAGAATCTTGAGAAAATATTTGAAATATTAAGGAAGCAAATCTAGATTCATTTCTTTCATACGGTGATCGAATTTTCTGCACATATAGATGCATACGCACACAGACGAGTCATATGTACAACGTTTATATAGGTACGTCGATATACCGTATGCACTCGTGTATTAGTCGACTCCATATACAGTGCGACCCCTGAATTTTTTGCATGAATTTTAACCACTCAAGAAAAATTAACCTATGTAATGCAACCGCTCAACCGAAACTCCTTGATTTTTCATCTGTTCAAAAAATTGCTTTACTGTATTTTTTGCGTAAAAACTGATCATAAAACTCACGCAATACTCTAGTATATACAGTATGTGTACACAAATTTATACATGCACACACAAATATTTACATACGCAAACACACACACATTCATACAATATACATATATGAGAAATCATACACGCAAAATTTTGCACCCCTTTGTGCACACATACACACACACACTTTTTAGCACACCATTATGTGTACACACACAATATAGATATGATAAAATATAGTTTAAGTATGCTACATTTATGGGAGAAAATTGCTCAATATCAGGGACAGCGTATGTAAGTATGCATAAGCAGTGTGGACATATGTATTAATAATGGATGACGACAGCTTATTTCATGCTTAAAGGTGAAAGCCAGGCCATGTATAAATAGATAAACGATGTCACAAAATAAATTTAAGACATTTTCTTTTTTGGTTGGTGGTGAAGGGGAATATTGTCTCATAACGTCAAAACATAAGAACGCGTATAATTAAATTTAAAACACC